GAAATGTACAACGCAGATTACGGTTAGATTATTGTAAAATAAAAAGGATAATTGATTATTTGAAAAGTTGCTTATACATATATAAGTATCAGGCGACAATCTCAAAAACAAATCATTTTTTTCGATGAGATAGTACCATTGTCTAGAAGGCCATGATACCTTAAAATCGGACCAAAGCCATGTCCGCATAACAGTGCAGTGGTAAAACATTTGGTCGTTAATGGAACTCGTAATCAAAACATTCTAATTTAAAACAGTTTAATGAGATAATCCAACAAAGATTATGTTGCTAAAGCCTCATCAATCAACTTGAGTTGTTATTATTCAAGTTAATCTAGCTTCATTTATTTATTACAACATACAAAAAACACGACGAAATGGTATCCGCGACCTTAAACCACACACTTTCTGGCCCTAATCTTGCGAACCACATGCGAGTCGGCACCACACTGATCTGCTTCAGGTTTTGTTGATAAAATATTTTTCATTATTAATATTGCTGTTACAAAACGAAAATCAGTAATAGAAAGACAGATTATACAGACGCCATGGAAGTTCAGATTGATTTACAGGAGCTTGAAACGAACTTCTTGGCTTGTGGGGCAGGCCGTAGATTCTGTATGCTGTTCCAATTGATCAGATTCTAAAATACAAGAACTTGTTTAATGCCTTAGCTAGTCGTCTATTATAAGCAAGACAGCAGCGTCTCTATGGCGTCCGCCCCCAGTCCCTGGTTTGGATAAACAATTCCTGCCAACAGGTGAAGTCTTGACGCTACTAACAGAATTTATCTTCAGGCCGTAGCACGATAAACTCCGTATGTTATTTATACTGTGTTTAAAAGTAGGGCAGTTCTTAGCGAACTATTCTTGGTGTAGTACGAGTCGACGAACGTTGTATCGGCCTTCGGAAGCCAACAATGTTAATAAATATGTTCATCAGAGTATAGAGGATATTTTAACTGTTGCTACAGCACAGATGTATTCGGCCGGCTTTTTGCAATTTTAATCATTCTTAATTACAAAGACAATATACGGACAGGCGCCTTCCTTCCTCCCTCTGTTGGAATGGCACAATAGGCTAACAGAACGTTTCGCTGAGCATCCTTTGTCCGAAATCTTTGAATTCAGGCTTACTACTGAAAATCGTTCTCAGAACAGCCTTCCAACTATGGTTATCGAAATAAATTGCTTCTTTGTAGTTCTCCTCATGTTTTTTTCATTGATGTCGTATCTAAGTATCTAACATGATCGACTAGTTAGTTTACTCCGTGCAAACTTTCGTCTACGTCTTGAATTGTCAGTGCAAGCAATCAATAAATGCAGGTCTTAGATTTTGCCAATAATGCTATTGCCTCCAAAAATTGTATCGCAGAATATGCCATTTGTGTCTCCTCGAAATTATTAGCCCTACCCAGTATAATTTCTATAATGCATAAAATCTCGATAGATCAAATAATTGTGCGTGTTTATAGGTTATGCATCAGTTCGACGTCACAAAGCCAGCTCCCTAGATGATTCTGAAAGCTGAAGCTGCTTGTTTCTAATTGCTGCTCTAGGTTTGTGAGACAAGCTTCTTGGAATGTTCAATTTTTAGTTTCGAAGAACTATTAGATTATATTAGGTTACAGAGATGTAAAATTAGACAAGAGTTTGGGATATTTTTAGTGAATTTGTTAAAACTCACTTCCATATCTTTAGCTTAACGAAAACAACATCTACTACGCTGTCACCCTCCAATTACAGATCCTAAGACACAAAGGAAATCAATGCTGCGACGGATTGAAATATTTTATCGAATTTATTATTATGTCTTTTTTTTCTATAAAAATCACGTATACTTGTTAATATAATACAGTCTAGTGTCACTATGGACCGAATTCTAAAATCTAGATTCAGTCTTAATTGTTGGAGAATAGTTGCATTTTTATTATAACCTGTAATATTCTTGCGTTCTTATTTAAGATTTCCGAAGAATTTGTTTAACGACATTGCAAAAATAATGATGACAGTGACTCGCTAGAAATATTGCGTCATATATTATTCGTAAACGAAGATTTATTTGTTATTTGAATAGGATAATTTGCAGTAAGACGAACCACAGGACATAAGTTAATTCGGTAAAAATTCAATGGCTCTTTATCGCACGCGTTATGTTTCCAAATAGCTGACCCTATTTTTCGTACTTGTCCGAAATGACGTTTTATTTAAATTGACTAGAAACATCGCAAAAATTATGGCTCGTCAGCTGGTCGCCATTGGCTATGATTTTCGCATCCGGCACCGTTGTACTGCCAGGTGTAGGTTAGGCTGATTCAGAGTAATTATCAAAAAAAAAACTAAAACTCCTTCTAGTGTGTACTGTTTAAAATAACTTAGCGCATCAGCTCCTTGAAGCGTAACGTAGGATGAACTAGGTGATAATAGCGAAGCACAACTCTGTATAAGGTACGAACTATTACTCCAGCTGGGTAATCCTTTAGTTATACATTTCGATTGTTGAATTCATTAGTTATACATTTCGATGATTGAAGTCATAAGAAGCTTTATAAGTGAGCAAGTACACCTTAGAGTACGGACATGTAAATCTCCGTTAATCTTGAGATTTCTTCAATGACGCAAAAAGTAACATCTAGTAACGCGTTAACAGCGTCCTTACATTATATACGATGTACAGGATCATGGACCATCATTGTAAAAACAAATCAAAATATCCATACAGTTCTCGGACGAAGCCCCAGTGACCGATGTTTAGAAATCACACGGGCATAACAGCTACTTGCGTTTCGCTAGCGGTTAGACCTAAACTGTTCGTTTTTTGGGATAAACCCAAACAGCCAAGGCAAGAGGGGTAAGAATCTAGTTGCCAGCGCTAAATTGATTCGAGGTCGTCACGAGAAGCGAAACAATTGCCTTTCAAATAAACAGCACGGGTTCCCTTCTAAATTTGACATTCAGTACGTGTACACAATTCTTTTCACAGATGAACTTACATGACACCTAATATATTTGTCGTCGACTGCATCTGAGAGCTTCAATTTCTCCCATTCATGTCACAGTGCTATTTCTAATCGCATAGCACTTCATTCAAATGTGATCAAGCGCTTACTCGAGTTCGTTTGCGAAATCAGTAGTTGACAGATTGAAGATCTATATCGATATAGATCTTCAGCGTGACCCAAATGAATTCCAACTCATGCAACAACAAGATTCTTAGAACCAATTTACTCCTTGTTATGCAAGCAGCAGGCTTACGAATGCAGCACTCAGCTAATGGATTAGTTGCCCCCTTTTTTCCAAGTTTTAATTATTTCGAAGAATAACGGCTCTTTTCTCGTCCGATGTGTCATAGTGTTCAACTGCTGGTTGCCATCACTGCCCTGGTCAAACTCCCGAAGAAATATCTTCATAAAGAATAATCGCTCTATTCACTTTTCACAGAGTAAAATCGATCTCGCGCAAAACTGAGTTTCGCTAATTCACACGCAATACAAGTCTGTCAATGTTCAGATTCTACCTGTAGCCTCTTTAGCTCTGTGGCTATGCATGCCCCACTAATGGTATGCATAACGGCCATTCTACCGATTTGCTTGTACAATTTCTTTATTGAGCATTCTGCTCTATCGATGCATCATTGTTCGTTACGTTGTTTTGCGAATTCATACGGTCGCTCTATTGTCTCCGCGCGTGTCCCTCACGTTCTGTCGTTTTGGACGACGTCTCTTCAATCCACCGGTCCATTTGTCCGTCCTACAATCATCAGCTCGCCGCTACTTCGGTTTGTTCACTTCAGCACATCCCTTTTGCTAAGCTGCGTGTTAGCGCAGTGACAGACTTTTTACCTCGTTGACGATGTCGCGGGCGCTACCAGTGACTGCTCACACAGAGGACAACTGGACGATCAAATTCACTCGTTGATGGTTGCCTCTACCCCGATTTCCTTCTGCCCTTAGTCCTTTACTCTAAGCCCGAAGGTAGCCAACCAACCAGCAAGCCGTTACCCCTTAGCGGTGGGTCGATGTCGGTCTTCATTTCGGTTTCTGATCCTTCGTCCTCTGGGCCAGCGCTTGCCAGCTGTGGGGCCTGCTGGTTGAGCGGTCCGAATGGTTTTGGCAGGCCTGGTCGATGATCGTGCCGTTTCGTAAATATATATATATATATATACATCTATATATGAAGGAATATGCCTATATGTACAAGGATTTTCTGTGATCCCATCATCCATTCTTTATCTCTTTCTGAAGTTTCTGTTCTATGTGAAAATGATGCTGTGCGACGTGTTGCCGCGTTCTGTTTGTGATAACCATGCGCTGTCAGCCAACTTTGCTTGGTCGCGGCGTGATTCCGTCTTTTTGTGGCTATGCGTACCGCCGGCGCTTTGGTTAAGTTCTGTCGGGTCTGTGGTTCTCTTTTTCTGCTTCGTGGTTCTTTCTCTAGACGAGTTTGTGCGCTGGCTTGACGCTGTTTCGCTCGTACGCACGAACGAACAGGCACACATATAGTTAGCAAGCAGTTCAGTTCTGTCGCCAGATATCAGCCGGCTTTCGGCTCGCCTCATGTGTCAGGTCAGGTGGATCTAGTTCGCCGCGACGAGAGGGGATCGACCAAAAGCAGAACCAGCGCACCGTCTTTCCCCACAGCACGGCAGAGTAACCGCGTCCCCTTCGTTCGATACTACTGCGTCTTCCTTCCATAGTTACTTAATATACATAGATCATCGGTTGCTGCGGGATCTTCTCAGCACCCCCCGACCCGCTTCGATGCTGTTGCCTCAGCTTTGGCTGACTGTCCGATCATCCCTCGCCACCGTTCGTTGTCTGAGACATGATGTGGCCAATGCGGTGAGAGTGAAATGAAAAAACCAACCTAATACATACATCGAACGGAATACTCACGATCACCATTCGATTCGGCCTGGCGAACGAGCCACGGACCAGCAGCGACATTTGCGAAATCACTCCGCCTCCTCCAGCGACCGACGGCGCCGGATGCTGCTGCCGCTCCGAGCTGGCGAGGAGAACAGACGGCGGCGGGAAAGGCAGGCTGATGTGGCTGCTTCAGCCCGTCACCAGCAGTATCCAACTGCTGCAAGACATCAGCTTCGTGTGGCGTTTTGACCGCCGCCCGTAATAGCACAGATGCAGCAAGCAACGAGAAAGGAGCTGCGGTGGTGGCAGTAGCAGCCGCCACCCCTCAGCCGCTCCCGCTGCAACAAACCCACCAGAAGCTAACGGAGAGCAGAATCGCGACAGCGGCGGGCTGAGCCATCCAGAAACAGCGGAGTGTTAACCGCCAAGTCGATAGCGTGCACCTACCAGAGGGTTCGGTTCGTTGAGACGAGCGGTAGCAGCAGAAGAAAGAACGGTTTCGTCGAATATGCTTTCCTGCTCCTTGGTCAGTCTGTGTCGTTTGATTTGCCGAAGCCTCGAATAGTAGCCAACAAAGGAGACGCACAGCGCATCGGCGCTATCGACAGCATTGACTGAACGGGCAGGCAAGCACGCCACGAACGAACCATCCCTCAGCCGCTTATTCGAGCGCGACAGCCGGCAGACATCGCCTCTAGCGTGTTCTGAGGCAGCAGAGCAGACTGTGTAAGGAAGTGGGCAAGTGAGTTGGATATAATAACAGCAGCAGTGGCCGCCACAGCAGCGCCGGTGCCGTAGCGGCGGATTAGAGCTGCCAGCGGCCAGCCAGCAAACGAACGAATTTGGTAAAGGAGAAACTTGAGAGGCTGAAAGGGGAGGGACGACTGCCGAGGAGATCGCTTTTCGTGCCGTCGTTGCCTGCTGGCTCCAGTGCTTCCCTTCAAGAGAAGAACGCAACACAGAGAGCAACGAACACCGCCTCGTCGACACGACCGTGTTGCTTGCGTCCTGCGTTCGTGCGTCTCATGTTGTACTGTGCATGAGGTGCTGCTGTGTTGAGAAGGAACGACTCGACCCTTCGCCGTAGTCGATCAAGTTACCACTGACTGACCATTGCTTGCCTCAGAGTGGACGACGACGCGAGTTGTACTAGTTGTCGTAACAACTGTCGACGCAATTTGTCGACGGAACAAGCAAACTCGTGTAGCCGGCGAAAAGACACTGCGCGTCGTCTGTCATAGAGTTTGTCACAAAGTAAGCTGTTCATCGAGATCATCATCGCTCGGTTATTGTTCTTTCTAGGATTAGTGTGCTGTCAATCAATTTTCTTGCCTCTATATACAACGTGAGTTTGTTATCGGGTTAGCGACCACAAAACTGACATAGGTTTTTTAGGTTGCCAGCCGCCAACGACTGGTGCTGTGTGCAAAAAATTCGGTTCGGCGTTAAAAAGAGACGTTAAAAAAAGAGTTCCTGCTGTGTTATAGTTCGGACACGCCAGTTTCGTCCGTTACCGCTTTGGCTGCGTCGGTTGTCGGCAACGGCGCCGATAACTCTATTCCTTTTGTTGTCGCTGTTGTGGGCTGCTGATCAACAAGTGACTTGCATACATCCACTGTACATACTTCTACCGTTATTTCAATTGACTGTAACCGTTGTTGTTGCTGTTGTTGTTGTTGTTGTTGTGCTTGTTCATCACCAGGATTGTCAGAATGACCGAGACGGAAACCGCGAAGGCCGCTACCGACTCGATGCCTGTAGAAGATGCCGCAGGCGCTACGGCAATTGCCGCAACTGGCAAAAAGGACGAGGTAAAGGCAGAGGAGGCCGTGCCTGCGGTCAAGGAGATGCGCGCCATCGTCCTTTCGAGCTTTGGCGGCCTGAAATCGGTAAAAATCCTGAACAGGCCTCAGCCGACCGCGGCTGAGGACGAGGTGCTTGTTCGCGTTAATTGCAGGTAGGTTATCGACTTTAAGCGAACAAATTTTTGCGGTGATTCGATGCAAAATATGCTTAACATTTCTGTGTGTAGCTAAACGAAGTGAATGTGTGTATTTCCCATGTGCAGATTTGATGTGTATCCGATTGTGAAGCGTTGAATGTCGAAGAACTGTCTGCTTGTATACTCATGTATATGATGAATTCACCTTATGTTGCAAGCGCTAAGCTGCCCTAGGTTGGGCTGGGCTAGTGGCTACTTGGATCAGTGCAGCTGCTATATCTGCATACGGTATAGTACAATAATATCATGTAACTTCCGTTTGTGCTTGGAGTGTATCGTAGCGCGGAGGACAAACGGCTGCTCCTGCCGCAAGCACTGCTATTACCGTATAAAACCAATGGGTAATTGCAGACCGGCGATGAATCGGCCCCGCCCTGACGGCAGCATCGAACTATTTGCTGCGACGTACAGCATAGCGTAGTCTAGCTAACAAGCGAGGGAGTAAGCTGAGGCGGCTAGCTGGATCGATAAGCAACCGCCCGCCAAAACTTAGCGGGGCCCAACTGCAACTGTCAACAGGGTTTGCTCGTAATGAGAATGAAAATGATATTAGGACCGATTATGATTAGTACGGCGAAGTGGGAAGATGATAGAAAGGTGGGCCGAGGCTGAATGTTGTTCATTAATGGAGTTCTCCTTCTTTACTATAGTCGTCAAATCGTAAGGCCGTACGTGTTACTGGCAAAATTATAAAGTTGCGATGGTTTTAAACAGTTTGTCGGCGTGTTTTACTAGCCGAGTCGGTCGAATGAATTCTTGTTGTTTGCGTCAGCGTCAACTACGAGTGCCGTTGGCCGTCTATCTCCTTGGGCCTGCTCCCCGAAGTTGTCGGGGCTTGAGTTAAGGCGGTGTCGTTGGTTCTTGGTGGCCGGAGAAGTGCTCACCCGCGTCGTCGTTTATTCATTCGTCGTCGCCGTCGACACTCAATGGCGGCATCATCGCCGCTATGGCTGGTAGCTCCAAGCGGCTCTGCTTGAAGAGATCGTCCAGCGGCTGCGAGCACCGCACCAGCGTCAACGGTGCTGCCGCTGCCGCTGTGGGTATGGGGCGCGGTCTTGCTTACTTTCTATTCTTTCCCTCTCTCCCTCCTTTATTCTTTTTTCTCTCTCGTCCCTGATTTCGTTTGGCTATTTCCGCTGCTGTTGCGTTCGTTGTGCCGCTGTCGGGCGGATGGCGGACGGCCAGTGGCTAGCGGCAGCCGCTCAGTTGTGTTGCGGCGACAACTTCGTCGTTTTCGTTGTCGTCATGACCATCATTATCACCATCATCATCAACATCAACCTCTTTGCTATTACCTACACAAACGAACGGCTTCTACTTAATCTTCAGCTTCTGATATTTCTACTGATCGTCCGATGACCGCGACAATGGCAAAAATGACAAACGAAGGTACTGCAGCTATCGATAACCATCCATACACGGCACCAGTAAATATTACTACAACGTTTTCAAGTTTTGCGTGTCCGATATTGTTTCAAGCATTGATTCAAACAGCTGTTATTACTATTACTGCTTTTTTGCATTTGTACGAATAAGCTGTTGCTGCTGACGCCGGCGCCAGCGGCATTCGCACTCCAGCTGAAACTATGATGGACCACAAGCCGCCGCTGGTTTCGTGCCGCTACGTCTTTACCCTGTTACTGTCGCGCTGGTGATTGCGACCTGCTTGTTACGCTGGAACTGGAGGCGGTGTTGGTTTTTTTTGCTGTTCATTTCAGGTTTGGCGGCTGCGTTGCGGTGACGGTGGCGTCCATGCTGTTGGTTTGGTGCTTGTACTGTGATGATGTCGGCGTATTGCGCCGCGACGCCGCCGCCGATACTGGTCGCTATGCTGGTGACGATGGCTTTCCGTTACGCTAGATTTGCTATCATTAGCCGCGTATAAGACTTGTTGATGTTTGTCGCTTGATGCTGGTCCCGTTGTTGTTTTTATCGTTATAGTAAACAGCAGTCGCCGTAGAGTATAGGGGTGACGGTTTGCTGTAGCTGGCGGCGGTTTGTTAGTGTCCTATCAGACAAAGCAGCAGCACCGATCGGTCACAGCTTGGCCATTACGGATAAGACAGACACATTTACACACGACAACAAACTACATTAGTACACGCATTGTACTATCGTAATTTGCAGTGTGTCGGTGGCGATGATATTGTTACTGCAAGGAGATGCACGAATCTTAATGACGCCATTATTTCTAGCTAGGTCGTCATCTGTTATTTTACATGTTGGCTGTGTTGTTGTAGCGGTTGAGAATGGAGCCGAATGCGTGATTCTCATGTTTCGAATCGTTGTCTTTCTTTTCGAAAATTGCACTTGCATTGTTTAGATAGGGTTTAGCTTTGAACACACTGTCCACCGTTAGCTCCAATCGATCAACTTTTTGCCTAGTTGTCGGTAAGAGTGATCGTTATCCATTCGTAGAGTATTGTTGTCTGTTCGACAGTCAATATACCGGAATCAGATTAAATATGACGGCCGCTGCCCTTAATCCATCAGGCGACACAAAGGATTTCAGCGGCTTGCTGCCCCTAACTGTCGAGCTGTCAGCCATCGATAAACTGGCTATTGGTACAAATACAATAGAAAATCTTGTCCTGAACCATACACGAAACAATGCCTACAGATCTGCTGGATACTACCAACAAAAGTAATCTGAAAGGCAAAGTGTGTTATTTCACAGCTATTATCAATGCGCTTTTATCCATCGCAACCAACTTCGTACTACATATTTCCTTGTATTGCCGTTGCCATTCCTTCTGTTGCTGTTTGAGCTGCGATGGCATCTTCCGCTCTCGGCACCCCCATTGTCATGGCTGGTCGTCCAACAAGTGGGTGGATGAGCAGTATGGAGATGGTGCCAGTATTATCGAGAACCTCCGAACCGTCGCGGTTGCAGAGCACCAGCAACACCGAGGCGGGGCGGGACACATGGCGAGGGAAAGGTCGGTCCTTTTGAGGGTGAGCTGAAGTATAAATTCCGGGGGGGGGGGGGGGAAGAGTCGCTCTGAGAGCCCAAGTAAGAGCCTACTGGAGAGAAGGCAGCAGCCACGTTGGAGACAGGCTGGTAGCATTGGCTTCGACGTTAACGTTGCCGGTAGACATGATGGTACACGCATGCCACTGAAGCTTGATGTCAATTTTGGCTATATTCGCTAAACTAGAAAAGAGAGTTTGCGGGCCGACGGGGAAAAGGGACCAAAAAGAGTTTGGTATAAAAATGCCAAGATGCTACAGGTGGTAGTAGTCCCAAAACTACTGTAAAGCCAACAGTGATAAAATGACAACACAGGCAATAACAAAATGGGGCAATGGCGGAGCTAAGGATGCTGGTGAATCCGTGCTACGATGAATTCGAGAGCGTGGAGAAGGAACGAGAAAGTAGTTCTTCGACTGGTCCGTTGCTTAGTTGTTTAGGTCTGAATATCGGCCTGTCGGCAAAATGGTGAGCCATTTGGACCGCTGCTATCGCCAGCAGCAGCAGTAAGAGGAGCATCTTCAGCATAAAGCCATAACCATAGCAGCGGACGCCAGTGGAAGCAACAGTGAAAGTAAAAGGCTTTTAAAGAATGATCTGGAAAATATCTGAACTAGCTAGATGAGCTGGGTAGATAGATTTATTCATTTGCTTAGACATAATGTATTCACCAAATAAACTATAGATAGAAAAACGGATTCCAGAGGAGACGCTACAGAATAATTAATTTCCCGGGTTCCGCGTCTGTCTGAATATGGCATGTATTATGTGTCTGGACGAAATCCATATAGCGGGAGCGCAATGCTACAAAAGAGACAAAACGTTGATTCGTTCATCTCGACTAGCTGCTATATTTCATTTAGACGCTGTTGCTACTCGACGGAAAATGATCAGCGACAGTACTCCGGTGTTTGGGCCCGGCTCCTACCAAACTATGAGTTCTCGCAGCTGTAACGAAACGGAGGGGCATATGGAGCAGATGGCGCTTATAAAGCCAGTTCAGATTCCCTTACCGTAGGTTTTCCTGGAGACAGCTAAGGACGAGGCGTACGAGCAAGGGTCAAACATTATATCGCAGACCGTCTGGCCTCACATGTTGATGGTCGGACGGTGCTCCTGCAGCAGCAACAGTGTCCTAGATCCATTATGGACATCACACCCGCGTAGATCAGCGTAAAAATAGGCGAAACATGCCATGCACGCGTTTTTCTGTAGATAAACCTCATTTAAAAAATTCTCGTTCTAGTTTTGGCCGTCGTACACCGGTATTTTGTGTTCAGCTAGCTTGTTAATCCAGGCGTCTCCTTCGTTTCTTTTTGTGGCTTTGTTCAGCGCGTAATGTCGTGCCAACAATCGATGAGCAGGACAACTCGGACATTTAATATTATTTTGGCCACCAACAACAGGATTGAATGTTTACTCTAAGCCAACCGTGGAATACAAGCAACAACGCCGGCATTGCTATTTTTTCTTCATAAAAAGTTCTAGTTGCTGTTAGATCCTCTTTGTCGGATGTGATCAGTCGGTCAAATCGCCAGTTGCCATTTCGGAGTAGCTAACAAGAATACGAATAACCAAGTAGAAAAGCTAGACGGAAAAGTCGAAGCTAGTTCAACTCTTCGTTGTAACCGACAGTAAGGCCATAATCGTATTCTTCGTATTCGAATACGATATTTATGAGAGGAAATGTTCATACAATACGCTTCACCGATATTTATATCAGGGAGCATTGTCTCTGAACAGTTGATGATCGTCCAGGTGGCCAGCCACGCACTCTTCGTATCACAGCCACGTGGGAAGACGACACGTTATCGGGAGACGACATCGCTGCGCATTCAGTATAGAATAGTTTCGTAAAAATAAAGCAAAGGCTTTCCTCTAAAATCCGAAATATATATTAAAGGACTGCAGCACCAGGAAATATTTAGGCACAATCAACAAGGTTCGATAGGTTACGTTGGCGTTAATCGTCAACGATAGTTAG